CCGAGTCCCCTCCTAAATATTCCCCAAAAATAATTTAAAGAAATACCTGAAATTCCGGGCTGTTACACTTTTGAAAATGCAAATAACACAATTGATATTTACGTAAAATCTACTTAGTGAAAGCGTTTCCTCACCATCATTTTCATGAATCGGAGAGAAACCTTATGACACTTAGATTTTATAGTGTATGGGTTCCTATCCATGTGAATTTTTCAAAACCATAATCACAAGATAAGGTTAGTGACAAATTCAGCCATACATGGATTAAACTTGTTCAATCTTAGTTTCTTGTCACCTTGGTAGCACAAGGCCCACCAATGCTTCCAAGTTGAACTCTGATAACTCACATGAAAATTCAACTTATTTGAAGTAGGTACAGAAATAAGAATTATGTCAACACGATAGGTTGCAAACCTTAAGTCGTGTGCTAGTGATAAATTACAGGTTTTACTCTTGATTAAATCTTGAAATTCTTTCAGGATCTTTAAGGCTCCCACTGTCCCCTTGACATATAAGTTTCCCCAGTCAAGAACCATTCCTTGACAAAACAAATATTCAAGGGATAGTACGGATTCTTATCAAGACTAACACTTCACACAATTGGTCTTAGTTGGTCTTTGTCTCATCCAAGACATCACAACTTACCAATCTCAAATGTACAAGAGTAGAAAACATTTTACTCTTACATTTGACTAATGTTAATAAATCTTCCTTTATGTCACTCAAGGTTACAATCTTGGAGTATGACTCTAAGAATTTTTTTGGAACGAAGTATGACTCATCTTCTTGATTTTAACCAATCCAACAATTCGTGACCTCTCTTCTTAGCCATAACAATGCAGTAAGACGTCCTTAGAGTATGAATTTGTGATATGGTTTCATAATCTTTAAGATGATCATGAAATATGATACTAAAGTACTCTCCCATCCTTTCAGATTTGAGAAACTTTTATCTTTCTGCCTAATTTGATTCTTCTCATTTGTTTTGTCATACATTGTATCCTTTCCAATGTTACAGAATTATACTTAACCTTATAAGTATAATCATATTTACTAATCTTTAGTAAATCATGACAAACCAATCTTTGTGGTGGACCTTGACTAGCGCACACCCAGTGTACCTAATTCCTTGACAAAATTACACAGATGGTCCTTGTGGTTGGGACGAGAGACCAAATATAATCCTTATGAGGAATTTTGGACGAGTATGGTCCCTGTGGTTCCAAATTGTTGCATGAATAGTCCTTATGACATACTCCGTTTAATTGTTGCCGTTTATCTAAATCACATGACCCTCACACGAGGGTATTTTCGTCTTTTGCTTGTCCCTTCTCTCTCATGATCTGCAAACATTTCCCTTCCCTATAAAAATTAAACCCCCATCACTTCCTTCATTATTTATTGTCTCCTCTATTCTCTCTTCTCTCTTCTCTCTTCTGTGTCTTTCTAAGAAACTTTGCTTAAGAATGGTAAATTGTTTTTGTGGAAGGCAAGCGGTGATAGTGACATCATGGACGGATCTCAACCCAGGGCGTAGGTTTTGGAAATTTCCTAGCAGTTGCAGTTTCATTGCATGGTTTGATGAGCCCATGTGTCGAAGGGCTGTAGCTGTCATTCTAGGTTTGCTAAGATCCATGAACAAGCTTCAAGAATCTCTGCTGCAAGCAATTTTTGAAGCAAAAAAAGTGAAGATGATGCTAGTTTTTAGTTGGGTTTTTTTTCATGTATGTGTACAAAAGATGCTAATAGTATTAGTCTGGAGATGATGGTTCTTTTGCTTGTGGGTAGATAGATGATGGTTCTTTTGCTTGCTTCAAGAATCAGATAATAGTATTAATTTGAAGATGATTTCGTTTTGTTTGTTTGTGATGTAAGAAATGTTCGTATGTATGAATGGAATGCTTTTTATTTGGGAAACTTTTAGTCTGCAACCATTGAAAAATATTGGTTTGGAACTTAATGAGTGTAAAATATTGGTCTACAACTTAATGAACTATCCAGATCCATTAAAGTATAAAATATGAAAGTGAAAGGTTTTTGTAGGGTTTAGACCATTGTAGTATAATGTGTAAGCCATTGTAGAGCCATAACAACATTAGAAATGTTCAAAAATAAAATGCAAACTTTTGCATAGTCATAAAGTTCATTACATAACCTTAAAGTGCAAAGTCATAATACCAAAAAAATATCAAAAGAGCTTGCAGACTAATGTATCATAACCAAAAGAACCATCTTAGTCTAGCACCCTAATGTACCATAATACCAACAAAAGATAAAGACACACAAGAACCAACTTATTTTGACCTTTCTAAGGTACCAAAACAAACAACACAAAAGACATTTCTAAGGTAGCATAACAAACAACACAAACGACAACAAATCAAACTTTTTCCTTCATTTTGGATTTATCCTTAAGTTTGGTTTTCTCCTTTTTGCCATCTCCCTGCTTCTTTGCCTTGCTAAGCTTCCTACCCCCTGCCACCACATTTCTAACTTCATTTTGTCCCCCTTGTCCCTTGCAACTCCTAGAGTTGTGACCCTTGTTCTTGCATTTGCTACAAGTAATTGTAAGGAACTTTCTGGTCAAACTTTTACCTTCATTATTTGGTTCTTCAGTTTGAGCTCTCTTTCTCTTCTTTTTTGGTCTCCCCACCTGCATAATTAATAAATTATAAAACAATATAAACATATACTAACTTGTAAACTGAAAATTATTTTCCTGTTTAGTATGCTTGGGGGGGTGTTAGTGTTGTGGGGCAATCTGACTTTGGCCACATACTTCTTCCATTGATTGGTTGAACTTTGTACTTGTACATTTCATTCCATGTGCTTAACCTATAACATGGATGTACCCACTCCTCAAGAGGTGGGACATTTTTTGCCCCATGCTCAACCTTATCCCAAATGGCACTAACAAGATGAGAGCATGGTATCCCAGTTATTTCCCAATGCTTGCAACTACAGTTCCTGTCCCTCCAATTAACCACAAATTGTTCCCCCATTGTCCCAGTAACTTGAGTCTTCTCAGCACCATTAAATATGCAAGTGTATTGAGAAGCAACTTTCTTAACTCCATCTAAAAGTTTTGTGGCTGTTGGGGTAAGTGGCCCATGAGACTTATCTATCACATTTTGCACAATACAAATTCGTTTCATTAAGTATTCCCTAATATATTCTAAACATGTAATTATAGGTTTGTCTCAAGCATCTAACAACTTTGAGTTGAAAACTTCACATAAATTATTCAACAAAATATCCGTATGTGCTCTTCCTGTACATTGCAACAAAATATCTTATAAGAATCTGTCAAAGTGTAAATCTTCCTTGAATCTGTCAAAGTGTCTAACTGTTATATAAGGTAAATATACCTGAAATATGTGCTCTGGCCCAATGTTTGGGTGGAATTTTCTTTAACCAATCACATGCCTTTGAGTTGAACTTGTTAAAATCTTCCATGAATCTGTCAAAGTGTCTAACTGTTGTTGCTGTTGCACATTCCCATAAATGATCTCGGTGCTCCTTCCCCCTCTATTGTAGCTTCATGTTTTCGTGAATATGTCTTAAACAGAACCTGTGTTCAGCGCTAGGGAATAGGTTGGCAATGGCAGGTAAAATCCCCTAATTAACAAGTAACAAAAATGTTATTTTCTAAATGTAGCAGACAAAATTACACAGATGTCATGAACAAGTATCATAAGAAGATTAACCTTTTGCCTGTCAGAAATAAATGTGAAGTTTGAATTTGTAGAGAGCTCCAAATCTTCACCTAGACACTCTAGAAACCAACTCCATGAGCTTTTGTTCTCGGCTTCAACTATGGCATATGCTAGTGGGTAGATCCCATTATTGGAATCAAGACCCACAGCAGTGAGAACCTATCCAGGGTAAGGTCCCTTCATGAAAGCCCCATCGAATCCTAAAAAATCTCTTAAACCTGCCTTAAAACCTAGTTTTAATGCACCTAAACAGACATAAATTCTCTTAAACATCCTAGTTTCCAAGTCTGCATTTGGTTCACTGTATACATCAATCTTCACAGTTGTTCCTGGGTTGCACTGTTGTAATTCTAGTACGTAATCCCTGAGAAGACTGTATTGTTTTTCATAATCTCCATAAACATGTTTCTGTGCAAGTTGTTTAGCCCTAAAGACCTTCATTCTTGACATCCCCACCTCGTATGTCTTTTGTAACTCTACACGCAAAGCTTTGACTGGGATAGTTGGGTTTCCTTCCACTTGTTGAAGAATGGTGGTTGCAAGAAACTTAGAAGTACACGCTTTAATAGATCTTGACTGCACACATCTATGCTCATGAACCAAAGTTTTCACCATCCAATCGCTTTCTTCATCAGATCTAGAAATTAATACCACCCAAGGGCATGTTGCTTTTTGTGAACTGACTGTTTTGTCCTTGCATTTGATTCTACTTTTTGTCCATGGCCCACCTGTCATTTTCGGGACCACACCCCTACATTTTGCCCTAATTCTTTGTTTATCATTTTTTGCAAAGTAAATGTTTCTCCTAGTCCGAATTGAATGCATTTTAATGTAGTCCTTCGCTTCTGATGAGGACTTAAATATTTGACCCAGATGGAATGCAGTTTCATGTACTACTCCTGATGAACACGTGGTTGGTTTGTTTAACCTTCTCATTAACTTCTTCCTCTCATCTTCTTCTACACCAGCTGATTCAAACAACTGTGTATCTATCACCTCCAAATCCTCATCAACTGTGACATCAGGTGCATTGAATGATTGGTGGTTATCTAGATTTGGAAAAGAATAAACACCACTGTGGAAGTCTTTCATATTCACTTCGATATCCTCCACCATATTAAGTTCATCCACTAAAAAGTCACTATCGTCGCTTATACTTCCATTGGTACTAGTCTCATCACTAATAGCATCTCCAGTTTCTTCATTGTCCCCCATCTGTTGGTAATCATTGTCCCCCATCTGTTGGTAATCATTATGATCCATATAAAAGAAAGGATCAAAGTCTTATGAAGGGCCAACATCTTGGGCTTTGTTAAGCTCCTCACTTGCAGGCTGAACTCCAACATCTTTCAATACATCTCTATCAAAATGTCCAAAAGGTACAACAGACCTAGAAAAGTCATAGTTCTTATTCAAGTCCAATTTTCTACTACATGATCCTACCTCTGTACTTGTAAACTTTTTTCGATTGAGTTCCGAAGAAATAGGCTCATTGATTTCTTCCAATACGACCTTATTTGGAGACATAAAGTATGTATGGAGTCTAGTAGTTCCATGTTCAGTATACACCATAATCTCTTTATGATTAGCGACATGCTTACTTAACAAAAGTACGTCTGAGTCGTTACCTAAAGGAAGTAACCCATAATCGATTTCAATCTCTGGAATCAAGAAGTGGTAGTAGATAGGCTCACCGTTGATATAACCTATCTCCTTCATCATATCGTCTAACTCATGTACGGAGAACACGTCCATGTCTACGTAGTCAATATAGTCAATACTCCCACCAACATAACGTCTTCCTGGGTATTTTGTGAACATACCCCCATGGTGAATCCTGAATGTGCAAAAACTACTTAGCTCAACTGAAAAACAAATAAATAATGATGTGAGGAAAGAATGAAGTCTCAAAATTGAATGTGCATAAATTACTTAACAAAATTGGAAGTTGTTAACTGATCACTCACCATAAGCTTTGATCAGGTCAGGATTTTCTGAAAATTTTGAAAGGACATTCCACAAAGTTAGAACCATCGCAAAAGATGAAGATGAAAACCCTAGTTTCCGTTTGATGTTTTGAAGTGATGAAGATGATAAACCAGAGGAGAAAATAAAGGGACGATTTCTTGGGGTAACGTAAATGGCAGCTTACATCGGATCATTTATGAATATGATCATTTCGTGTAACAAAGAAAAAGACGAAAATACCCTCGTGTGAGGGTCATGTGATTTAGATAACGGCAACAATTAAACGGAGTATGTCATAAGGACTATTCGTGCAACAATTTGGAACCATAGGGACCATACTCGTCCAAAATTCCTCATAAGGATTATCTTTGGTCTCTCGTGCCAACCACAGGGACCATCTGTGTAATTTTGTCTAATTCCTTAGTCCTTCAATTGACTCACATATACATGTGATCAAAGAATTAGTCTTAATTTTCAAAGATGAAAATTCTCATTCATCATACAATACAACTTGTATGATTCCAAGTTTCTATCCAATTGAAACTTGGGTGATGAAAAACTTTCTTCATTTGGTAAATTCAGACACTACCACAAATGAAAGAATCAAATCCACTTTCCAATATTGCTATTACTGGAAACATATAAGCAACAATTTTCCACAGATGCCATTGTAAGGATATTTGTTAAAATAAATAAAATTAAAACCCTTTTTTCTTTTATTTTAAAACTTTACGAAAAAAACTTATCCTTACAATCCACATGAAAACCTTGTTATCTATTCCTAAGTAATATATCATAACTCTTAAGCAACAACTCAAAATTTTGATCACCGAACCATGCGATCGAAACCCACCTTCGCAATCAGAATCAACATATATTTACTTTAAGCTTCCTATCTTTTATTTGATTCTTAAAAACATCAACATGTGACCCATTCACATTATGTAATAAGAATATCCAAATAGGAACTTAATAGAGTTAGTCAATGGACTTTAACTAAAGTAGAGTCAAACATTTTGACTTGATCAATCTTATGATCTTTCAGGTAAATATGGCAGCTTCGCAATAAGTGTCCCTCCCTTTGGCAATAAAAATAAAGACCCTTTGGTAATGGCACATGAGACTATCTCAGACTTAGCCTTTCTCTTTACCATTTGGTCAACCGAGTTGACTATGGCCGATCCCTTTCCATTGGGAAGAGAAATGCTTTTCTAGATATCCAATGCTACCATTGCCAATGTCCATTTAAGGTTTGGGAAGTTGATCTTCTAATAAAATTTGCTTTACTAGTGTTCCAAATCATTGCTGATTTCACAGCACAATGCAAGTAGATAAGATCATTAAGGGTCATGTCATAGTCTGTCTCATAGTAGTCCCAAAGAGACTCACTATGTTACTAAGAAAGTGATTGAACATCCAACTTTCACAATACTTTGACACCCAACTCTCCCGGCTTGTTAACATGTGACTTTATCTCCAAGATGTGAGCACACATAGACTATGCTTGCCAATAGGGATTGAGTGACTTTAAACTTTTCAAGAACTTGTGGGTGAGGGAGAATAATTGGAGGAGGTGGAGGAAGTGAAGCATGATGTTGAGTGACACCATCTTCAAGAGATTTGGGAAGATCATAGTTGTCTGAACCAGGCATCTATAATGGGAGAAAATCAAGTTAGTTGATTCAAAATCCTTAATATAACACCCAATATGAAATATTAAGGCTAGGACCCAACACAATATTTTATAATTTGGAGGAGGGATGTCGTAATCCATGCTATACAATATTTGAAGGTAGGCGAATGACGATTCACCAATTTCCACCATGAAAAACGAAATAATTTATTAGGTTTTAATTGGATTTGAAATTCCTAGATCTTTTGAGATTCATTGAACTTTTCAATGGCATGTTTCAATCTCGAGTGTGCCCTCACAAATTTTGTGACTGGGATGCTGAGGATCACAAAACAAGGTGTGAATAACCATACCAATCCACTTGGTACCCTTAATATTATCACCTAATCAATGTGCCGGTTAACCACACACGCTCCATTGACCTATGACAAACATTAAGTCACCCTTCGTGATCCTTACTAGTCCAAGTTAGTGTGCCGGTTAACCACACACGCTCCACCAACGACTTAGTAAGGTACAAAGTGTGAATTCCATGGGCTAGCACCAAATTCACATTTTTCCTAAAGTAACTAAGATTGGGAATTAAATAAAAAATATTTAGTTACTTTATAATAATCATTATACTTTTAATGAGAATTTAAAGTCATTGTCCTACCCGTTCGGCTAACGACCCTCCACCGATCAAGCAAGCGGTGGGTGAGAGTGGACACCCATTAAGTTGCCATTTTATAGGCAACAACCTTATACCCACCTTATAGACCGGCTTCGTGAATGAGGCCTACTAACGGTAAAACGACTTGTTCTTATACATATATATAATAATTAACCATTAATGTTATAAATAGTATAAGTGTTGAATTTTAACTTTTAAAACTCTAAGGGTTTGGAATTAAAGTTTGTGTGAGACTTTACAAATTCCAAAACTTAAGGGAAAGTTTTGTACAATTCATAAACTTTTGGATATTAATAACTTATGAGTTTTAATTAAGTGTTTAAAACTTTTAATGAAGAGTCTCTTGGAAATCCATAACTTGAGGACAAGTTATGAAGTCCATAAAAGCATTTATTAGAAAAACTCTTCAAAAGTGTAACTTATGACTTCTTAAAAAACATTTAAAAGAAAAAACTTTTGGAATTCCATAACTTGAGGACAAATTATGAATTCCATTAAAAGACATTAAGATCAAGAATTAACTAACAAACAATTTGGAAATAATTCCTATGATCTAACGAAACTCATATGAACATGAACATCCACATCAACAATTTCAAGAATCATATGAACACATATAAACTTGAAATTTTGATTATAACTTTGAAATTGGTCCACCATCATCATTACCACATCAAAAACTAGTTTTATGAGTCCAAAACAGTTTAAGGTAATGATTCTAGACCAATTCCAGCACCAAAACTCGAAGATATGCTGTCTGGGGGTCCAACTCGTCGAGTGCATGAACCAACTCGCCGAGTTGGATGAATTTTGTCTTGGACTCGTCGAGTCCCTTCATGGACTCGGCGAGTCTGCTGTGCAGACAACACATAAACTTCGATTTTCAGCAATTTGCATCAAGTATTCAAGAAAACAAGCCTAGGCTCTGATACCACTGTTGGGTTTTGAGCATTCTAACACTCCTATGGTGTGCATGCAACCCTATAAACCTTGGATCTATGTTTTCTTCTAAAATACATGCAAATAATAATTTCCAAGGTTTATTCCTAACTAGCATAGCATAAGGATTATGAATCATAAACCTACTAGTAGAAATACATACCTTTTGATGGTGGTTGATTGCTTGGAGTTTGAGAGCCTAGCACCAATAATGTGAATGCCTCAAATGGAATCACAAATCACCACGAACTTTGGAAACATGAGAGAATAGTATACTTTCTTATGAAATTGGCCACCACTAAGTCTCACACAGCTAGAGTGTCATTTCTTGCATCATATGCTTCTTTATATAGTGTGCATGGTTAGGGTGAAACCCTAATAACCCATGTCTTTTCCTTTCCAAGGATCCATGGGTTAAAAGCTCCATGGATCATCCATGGACTTCCATATTAGCTTAGTCCATTAACAAATGAGTATTAGCCCACACTATATAAAATATAATAGCCCATAATTTAATCAGTCTTCTTTTTAATCTCTAAATTAATTCATAATTAATTTAAGACTAAAACTAATTAAATAAAATGACTTCATATTAATATATTATAACTTATAATATATTAATAAATCGTAAGTATACAATTCTCATAAAATTATCCATAAATCGTTTGGATGAAATGCAACCCAAATGGACCATGCCAGGTTGGGTCAAGTATGTACCAAATAAGTTATGGACTTAGACACCTTATCCAACAGACTCCCACTTGGATAAGTCTAATAAATATATTTGCGTATGCTACTTCAGGAACCAACCAGCAATCGTAGTTCTCGAAAACTATGTTGAACTATGAAGTGCCATTTTAGATAAGTGATCATATAATCCTCTTTTCTCATGATATCAGCCGGACAAATACATGGAACAACGTCGTACTTATTGTCCAGCAGTTTGTTTCCCGATTTTCGATTTGTTTTGACAAAGAACTTAATCGAACACATCAATTTAGTTCTGACCGGCTGGTACATAGGTCACAACAAAATCATCGAGGGGCCCAGATATCGCTTCTATTTCTGGAAGGAATAAATAAACTTCGACTCATATGCTTGTTCTACTACTTGTTGAATTGTACACAAAGGTACGTTTTATAACATCAAGTTACTGATGCGTTTACGTGCAATCAATGCACAACCAACTCATAGGTAACAACTCATATCTCTAGGTTTGAAGATTTATATGATATTACCGTCTCACGATCACTCGTGATAAATTCCATGAAGTGATACAAGTGAGCGTGGGTTTATTCCAATACTCATAACTTATGAGCACTCATGAATGTTGTAGCAACCATTGCTATGACTAAACCCATTTAGACATCTACAAACTCGATTCATGATAGTCTTGATTCATACCTACTTCCAACATATGAACGACTGTGGAGTGTTTAAATAACTTAGTCATTCGGAAAGAATAACCTAGCTATTTTGGAAGTCAAAACATGCAAAGTGAAACACAATAATAATCGAATCCAATATGGTCTCAGAACCCTTTTGAATATAAATAGAACCACCTTTTATTTATCACCATATTGATTACACATTATTCATTGTATAATGTTTCAAACAATCAACTTAAGACTTGAATAAAAACAACAGTCGTCCCATGCTCCTGGCATGTACACTTTGTTTTTCTAAACAATAGTTATGCCATACTCCAAGTATGCACACTATGTTTGTCTATGATACTTACATTGTGATGTAGATCAATTGAACATGATTCCAATGATACTCATTTCACAATCCCAAATTGTTATTGTAAATGTGAGAATC